CGACTGCACTTTGTGAGAGCGGAACGCGATGTCTCTCTCCTTCCTTTTTTAATTAATCGCGAGGTGATGAAATAACGGCAAACATTCATCGATCATCGCTTTTGTTCGTGCCAAGCCGACAGGATTACTGATATCTTTACGCCACTTTGCGAAAGAAACTGAGAGAGAAAGTACACGGAGAGAATATTATAGTCAGATTTCATTTAAATTCTCTTCAATTTTACTATGTTTTTATTGGTCCAGAAATAGACTGTCAATAAGGCCTATCTTGCTAAGAAACATGGCAAATTTCGCTAGAAGTACATAACAAGTGTTTCAACTTTTCGATTTCTATATTAATTTTTCAGACATAAGTTCCCAAGTGAGGCGAGCAACTAACACCAAAAAATTTTCTGTGTAATTATATTACACAGAAATAAATTTATTTAATATATATTTAAATATATTTTTTAATACATTTAAAAATATATTTAAATATTTAATATTTAAATATATTTAAATATATTTAATAAATATGTTTAATATATATTTAATAATTAAGTATGTTTATGACATTAAAAATTATATTAAAATAGTAAATAAACATAACAATGCGTAAATATAATGTAATGTCATTTATTTTTATTTATATCAACATAGAATATCTTTAAAGTTTTATGATTATAATACGATTCTGTATTGTTAATTAGTATTAATATTGTTAAATAAGGTAAGTAATATGTCTGTGACATAATTTTCCAAGAGAAGTGAATGGCTTGCCCAAAGTAAATTATAACTTCTTATAAATGCAAATATTATGCATTTATTTATCTCAAACAAAAGCTTATAACTTAAAAAAACAATTTAAAAAATCCACAAAAGTTATCAAAATTTTCTGACAGAATTTTTCTAAAAAAATTATTTATAGGGCGAACGTCCGCTGGGAGTCAAAAGGTTAACAGTAAATTTTAGTTCCTAAAATATAAGTTTCGGATGAAAATAGCGAGAATTACTGTAGTATGTCGATCTATTCCTCGATTACCAAATGCCACAACACCTTGCTAATAAATTTCTGCGAAATAAACATTCACATTCCATAAATAAATTTCCGAGTATTTTTTCTCTTGGTATGCTCGGCTCCGTATCAGTAGGTGAGATACGGCGGACATTAAGCTGACACATCGGCAATTTGTTTATCGGCCTTTTGCGTCTTGTCCACGAGACGAATTTTCAAGGTGGACAGGCCGACGGAAGGAAAATACCGAGAGAAAATACTGATCAACGAATTGTTTACGACGACTTAATTCGCGGCTGTCGAGTTTGCGGAAAAACTAACGGCAATTATCCGCAGCGACGTAGAGATAACGGGGACAGGTAATGAGAATAAATCTACGTCCATACGAAACAAAGGCGATTCGCATGCGTGATTATCATAATGACCGTGCAAGCTGCACGTCTCTAAACGAACACGACCGCAAAACAAAGGAACAAAAATGAAGAGGGAAAACGTTTTCACGTTCAACGATTAATTCGTTATCGCCCGGTGCGAAATTATCTTGTTGCGCAAAAACGTTTTGAAACGTGCGAACGATTATCGCTCGATAAGAGCGTTACGTACACGAGATATACTTGTATCTTTCGAGCGCGAACATCCCCGAAGAGGACGCGAGTCTCGTGCGGCCGATAAAACATTTCGTTTACGATTTCAGCGCGCGCGCACGCGTTCATTCTACAATAAGCTAAGGCCCGATTTATAATAGATGGAGTAAGGAGTAGGAATAAGACGAAGTGGAAATAATTATTTCGCTTACTCCCTTACTCCAATAAAAGTTTGCCCGTATACATCACATGGAGTAAGCCTGAATTAAGTAGTAAGAGCTGAAGTAAGGAGCTGGAATAAGGGAATAAGCGAAATTAATTATTTCCATTTCCTCTTACTCCTACTCCTTACTCCATTTATTGTTGTTCGGACCTAATAGTCATAAGTCATAGACAAGTTGACCAACCACAGCCGATTATTTTTGAAAATAGTCGACTGTGATTGGCCAATTTGCTTGCGACTTATGACTGAAAGCTTATTGTAGAATGCGCTTAGAACATCGCGATGCGAGATTGATCGCATCGCTCTATGTCGTTATATATCAAACCAATAGTATTCTCGATTGCTCCGGGAGCGATTCAACTCGATCTGTCACGAATTTATCTCCGAATTAATATTGTTAAATAAGGTAAGAGTAATATGTCTGTGACATAATTTTAATTTTAACAAGAGAAGTGAATGGCTTGCCCAAAGTAAATTATAACTTCTTATAAATGCAAATATTATGCACTTATTTATTTCAAACAAAAGCTTATAATTTAAAAAACAATTTAAAAAATTCACAAAAGTTATAAAAATTTTCTGACAGAATTTTTCTAAAAAAATTATCCAAAGAAATTAACTAATTTATCCAAAGAAAATTTAGTTCTTACAATGAATCAACATAACCAGAGTAATTTTGATTTGCATAAATTCTATTTCCTTCAGTTTTTTATAAGAAAGAACGTCGTAATCTTTATTTTTCTGTTAGTTTGATCGCCAAAGGACGCCAAAGTTAAAAAAACGTCCCCTCATAATCTACAGGATGTTCAGTAACTCACGGAGAACAAGTGGATGTACAAGTACCGCGGTGTACAGATAGATTAAGTTAAACCGAATGAAAAATTCCTCTATCATTTGGCAAATAACTACGTAAAACTTTCAGTTATTAATCTAAGAATATTCGTGAATGATCACGCGAACCAGCAAAATACCGATGAATTTTTGTATATGAAACATGCAATGAGAAATATCGGTTCATAATTTTTTAATCAGAATTTGGCCGAAAATATTCGTTTGTTAATTTTTTATCGGATAATTTCACTCAATGTATACAGTAGATGAGCTGTGATGGCGACATCTGCCGCTGTACGCTTGTATGTTAAGTCAAACTGGACAAAAAAGTCCTCTCTACTATTTTCCAAGATCACCTAGATGTTTAGTTATTAATCAAAAAAAATTGGTGCATTATCGCGCACATCTGCACTGAGAAAAAAATGTACTAAATTTTAAAAATGTTTGTTCAGATATAACTGTGAACATATTTGTTTAAATTAAGCAATTATTTTCTAAAATTAAATAAATAAAGGAGCTTTAAATATAAATTTCTTCCTTTGACTTTAAAAAATAATTACTTAATTTAAACAAATATGTTCACAGTTGTATTCAAACAAACGCTTTTTGAAATGTAATAAATTTTTTTCTCAGTGTGTATACCAAACTTCTCACTTGAGGCTTGAACTCTCGTAATTCGAGACAGACTTACGGTGTTATCGATCGCTCCCGCAGGGACTCGAGCCCAGGGTGCAGTCGGAAACGCTGTAAACCGCGTCCGACGCATCTCTCGCGGAAGTTGGCGCGAATCCGAATTCGATTAAACCGCAAGGCCGACCGCTGGTGGTGTGGAAGGTGCATCGCAACCGCATCGTGGCGGCGGCGGCGTTCTGATTGCAGGAGCCGTCCTCGACCGTGTTCTATCTCTATCTGCGCTGCTCCGCGCGGCGAGGATTGCTTGATTACTTAATTACCATATACACTGCGCATTCCGCGCCCATGTGCCAGCAGTTAAAGCGCCATTAGTTTTTAAAGTTCACGCTGCCGCGGTGCGTGCGGCGACACGCAAGGTCGAACGTAAGTGACGGTAATGAGGAAGATCCACCTCGACTGCAACAGCAGTAATACCGATCGCTACTCGTTGCAGAAACGATCGTGTTTCCATGGGAAATTGCCCGGCGTGTAGCCGGTACCACACTCATTCAAAGAAGTGGTCTCGCTGTTATAGCGAAAATTATCTAGATATAATGAATAAGTGACTAGTGATATCGCATAAGTCTTGTATTTAATCAATACAGATGGTAGGAATAGAATATCTGTCTGAACTACTTTTGAAATTGAACAGAGAAATCTCTTTGTGGCGGCCATCCAATTTAAAGCCAGTCACATTTCTTATAAAAATTGACTGCGCTAAATGAAAAAGACCAGCGATGAAAGGCAAATGAATGTATGAACCTTATACCCACGTAAATTTGCTTAGATGTTGCTAGAATGCTGTTCCTATAAACCCTATCACAAGTCATTTTTTAGCAAATGCGAAAAATAGTGATAAATTTTAGCTATGATATTTAGAATTCTACCTAAACCAGCAAAAAGTTTTTTAAATGCAAAAGAGTCTCTCTCTCTCTCTCTCTCTCTCTCTCTCAAACTCTAACGTATATGACTAATACAAAGGCAGTAAAATGAGCTAACAGATATAGATATCATGAAATTAAAAACTTTTCAAAAAAATAAAACAAAATAAATTCTTAAATAAAAGAATTTTATTTAAAAAATAAAAATTAAAATAAAATAATTATTTAAATTAACGAATTTAATATAAAAATAGCTCTCTCTCTCTCTCTCTCTCTCTCTCTCTCTATATATATATATATATATATTTATTTATTTTTATATATAATAAATATATAATAAAGTCTCTCCTTATATGACCAGTGGAGAGCCAACAAAATGATCTAACAGATATAAACATTATATGAATTGCATTTATCGTTTATATCTTATATTTTAATTTTATATTTTATATATCTCTCATATCTTTATTATATTTTGTTTCAAAACAATCGATGAAAAATCAGCGTAGCATGTAACACGACAAGTGTTTTGAACGAGCGTATCAATTGAATACGTCGACTGACATACACTGAGAGAAAAATATAGTTGCCTTTGGCGTCAACTATACTCTTTTGTGATTTTAACCACAAAAATGATTAGAGAAACAATTGTTTTAATAACTATTATTAGAAAGATGGTTCTTCTAATTATTTTTCTGGTTAAAATCACAAAAAAGCATAGTTGATGCCGAAAGCAACTATATTTTTCTCTCAGTTCTCTCAGTGTAAGAGAAGTACGTTGTGCACACGAACGTTGCGATGTGACGTCATCTTACCTTCTTCGGTGCAACAGCCCAAAAGCGTCACGACGTTCGGATGACTCCCCAGTTGCTGCATGATCTCGAGTTCCCGGACCAAATCCTCTTTCTCTCGATCGGAGGCACCCTCCTTGACGGTTTTCACCGCCACCAATCGAGTGGTGCCTTGATGACCGGTCAGATCGTCGGCTTCGGCTTTCCACACCTGGAATCCATTCAAGCGCACGATCATTTCCACGGGAAAGCAACGATACCAGCGCGGCGCGGTCTCGTCTTTTTATTCCCCGTATACTAAGGAAAAGAATCCAGCGCAACGGATTATACGTTCCCCGAGTTTTCCCTACAGTCGATCTCGCGTAATCAATTCGATTATACCAATATTACGCTAACTGCCCATTACTATCTCATGAATACGGTCAAGATTGTGCACGTCGAAAGCGGCCATTACAAATAAACGCGGGTAGACCGCGCGAGGACGAGCGAGTAAAATCGCTTCTCTCGCTTCGCGGATGGAAGTCGGGAGGACTTCATCGCGAGGATTGGATTTCCGCGCGAGTTTCGTGGGGGAGGAAGGGAAAGGGAAAAAAGATCCGACAGTCGCGAATTACGAGCTTGGTTTTTTATAGCGCGCCGCAGGAAATAATGCCTCTCACCTGGCCGAAGTTTCCTTGCCCAAGGACTGTCTGTAACCTAAGCTTATCTCTAGGAAACTCCCATCTGGATTCCTGGGTCGGCGGAGGCGGCGGTTTCTCAGCTTCGTGACACTGCACAGAGAAAGAGAGGGAGAGAGAGTAGTGGCGACGGGTGTGTTTGGTTGCACTTTAGAATTGTCTAAAAATAACCTCTAATTGATAGGCGCGCGCGAGCTTTGACGTGTCGCGCAGAATTTACGCGTCACCTGCGTCACTGACGTAGAATTCCTTCTACACTGGGCGAAGAAACTCGTCGGATTTCCCTTTGACGTGGGTCTAGGCGCGGCGCGACACTTTCCTACTTGCGAAACGCGCTGTGGCGAAGATATTTCTCTCGTGCAAATGATCGTGAACGATCGTGAAAATTATTTCAATGATATATTCTGGTTTCTTAAAATTATATTCTAATAAAAATATAATTTTTTAAGAGTTATAACAAAGAGAGAATTGGGAATAGCAAAATAGGGACTAAGAAATTTAAATAAAGAACTAAGAGTACTCCGATTAGAGAGAATGTCCAAAGAGAGTGGTTAAGTTTCGACTGATTTTAGGCTCGATAATGACAGTTTCTTTTATATACAATTAAAGCTCACGTCAAGCTGTTTCCAAATATGTAATATGTCTTTGATCTTAGCCTCTCTAATCTGAGTCGTTCTCGAGAAAAATGGCCCAAAGGAGCCTTGATTTTAACAGATTGTTATGTAAACAAAGAATTAACAGATGTGTTATGTAAACAAAGTATCAGTTGTCAGGATGGCAGCTAATTTAACTGCGCATGACATTTGCCGCCAAACAACACTAATGTAGAACTTATCAATGAAATCTTAACTGATCGGTGATTGTTCAGGGATAATTGACTGTCAGAGTGCACATAGCAGGTCATAATCGCGGATACCGTCAGTGCAGAAGTGAGAGGCTCAGATTAGAGAGTTATATATTCGGAATTAACGACACGAGCTTTAATCGTATGTAAAAAAGATTGTCATATATTATCACAGGCTTCAAAAGTCTAGAAACATCTATGAGCGTTTGGTTAACCTAAAAAATCCGGAATAAACATTAAACAATACCTTGTTTAATAGTAGAACAAAAGAAAAGAAACATGCAAAACTTAAATATTCAATTTTTAAACAGTTACAATTTCTACAATTTTCGTCCCACAGCCTAAAATTTAGATTCATTCTCCAACTGCAAGCATATTATTTAAGAAACATTTTGGTTTCTTAATTTCAATTTTCTCGCCGATTGCAGCGATGTTTTTCACAGTTCGGCCATATGCTGCATATTTATTTATATGTTTTTTTAAATAACAAAAATAGTTTAAGAGTTAGTTTTTTAAAGTTTAATAATTGCTTAATTAATGTGTAATATTTAAAAAAATTTGATTGATGCATTTTCGCCGAATTAATTCACAAAAGTACGCTTCTCTTCGGAACGTTGCATTGGTCTGGCCCCTTAATTGCTACACACCAGCTCCCTAACCGGACTCTCACTTGCATTTCACGTTCGAGCGAAAACCCGCGAGCCTCTATCTCGGCAATTAATCTCCGTTCTCGCGCATATCTCACCAAGTGCTGTATCCTCGGTAGCTTCGTGATCGCCTTCTCGATGGACGTCTTGAAGTCGCCGTTCTCGAGATTAAGAGCGTCCTTCCTGCAGCTTATCTCCGATGACGTGTCCGACTCCTCGAGCACCTGCGAAGTGGCGGAATCAGCGTCAGCACGAAATCTGCATTCCACGCGCCGCGAGTACACGCGCGATCGTCGCTTCTCGTGTTAATTGGCGAGGCGCGATACGCATCTCCGTCGGCGATCACGCGGGACGGATAGACAGGTCGGGGCCGATCCGGGGGTATTTCCGCGGGCGATATCGCCGGAATAAAATCGCCCGTACACGCCGCAATTCGCGCGCGCGCGAATACGACGTTGACGTTCTTACGACGGCGTTAAGATACGCGCGAACGGCGCAAAAATCACCCCCGACTCGGTATCCGTCGCGCGACTCTTGGGAGAAACCGGATTAACCTCAGCGGCACTAAAGTATTTTCTATAACTGAGTACAAACAGCGGGAGGTCCCTCTCTCTATCCCTTTCTCTTTCTCTCTCCCTCGCGCGCATTTTCTACGTGTAAAATCGCATTTCCCTGTATTAAATTTTCCTTCAACTACCAACAGTTCGCGGGGAGACGCGGCTATTTTACCTTCGTAATAAGAGAATCAAGAAGTCCCCGGCACTAATAATTACGTCGAGATAAAGTTATATTAATAATTATGCAAGCTTATATATACTGTCCCAGACTTTCTTCCGTAATTTTTGTGGGAACGTAAAACGAATTGAGATGAGCATAAAAATCTTATACCGTTTCGCAATATTTGTAATAATAGACGAGATATTAATAAAGAATATTGGTAAATGATCATGCGATATAATAGATGAGCTGTAATGACAATGTGTGCTGTTGTGTGCTTATAAATTATTTAGAGAAATTCTCACATATGTCTCACTTAATTCTAATGTAAGATGAAGACTAGAAAAAATGTTGAGAAAACTTTGAGTTTACCATTTAGAATCGCGTACTTAAAATCATCAAACTTCTAATCCTCTAATAGAAAAGTTTCTGGGATCTAATATGAACCCATTCCGAATTTCCAAGAAATAATGATTTCTGATTGGAAAACCTACGATAAGTTGGAGATTAGAAGTAATGTTTCAATAAAATACGCAAGCGTTGGGAAACGCAAATAAATCTCACTTTTTCTATTGAATATTTTCTCAAGTTGTCCTTTTTTTGGATTTCTGTGTTATATTTATGTAAAATAAAGTATCTGAAACGTTTTGAGAATTTACGCACACTTTACAAGTATAAATATTTAAAAAGCATAAATGCTCAAACTGTTTCAAAAGATAATTTTCTCTCAGAAGTAGATTATAAGTATTTTGTGTAAAACAATATATATTATATTTTACCTCGAATATAAAACTATAACATTATATTAAACATTTAAATATATTATAATTATGACAGTCGATAAATTATAAGGAGAGAGAGAGAGAGAGAGAGAGAGAGAGAGAGAGAGAGAGAGAGAGAGAGAGAGAGAGAGTGTGTGTGTGTGTGTGTGTGTGTGTGTGTGTGTGTGTGTGTGTGTGTGAGAGAGAGAGAGAGAGAGAACGAGTATACAACAGCTTATATTAAACAGAAAAAATAGATCGTATATTTCAATAAATCATAATTATGAGAGTATCAATTGTTACTTTGTTATTTTCTGTGTCTCCTCTTTTCCTTTCACTCTTCCTACACAACTTTTCATCTATCTTTGTGTCTTCTACTTAGAACCGCAATTTCAATTATCTGAGAAATGGGAATAGATCCATCATTAGATCCAAGAAAATTTTCTATAGTTAGGATAAAAGTGCGATTCTTGATTGGCGTCGCAATACGATACACCTATTTAGAACAAGTTTGAGTAATCTGATCGGAGTCCATGCTATACTTGAGAATGTCTGGGAAGTTTCTATATAGGTCATCATTATTTGATATTTTGGAATCGGATTCGATCCTAATTAGATCCCAGGAAATTTTCTATAAATTATCTTGGTGATCGAATTTCAGTATGATGACTTCTTGAGAAATTGTCCCAGTTATCGTATTTCTCGAAATTATGTTAGGAGACAAAAGTGTGTATCCAGCAACAAGAGAACAAACAACTCGGCAGCTGCTCGAATTGTTGTTGTTCGCGTGGGGCTTGTTCGCCGATATTCACATCACCTGGGAAATATCGAATGGATGACGCGCGCGCGTGCGATTGCACGAGTTTGATTTGCTACCAAGAAGCGAAATTATCTCGAAAAGCTCGAACGACGCACGAACAATGCAAAATCAAACTCCGCGTCGCTTTTGTCGCGATATTTGCACGCGGCGCGTTATTTTCGCGCGGGTTTCGTTGTTTCGTAGAAAAGCACCTGCAGCGAAATCGCCCGCGTGTCATGCGAGAATCGTCAGGAAAGCGGATCGCCTCGGCTGTCGACGGTGAAATTTCAATCTCAGAGAACGCAGCATGCCCGAGTTTAGCGTCAGGCCCCAGACGGCCCCCAAACGCGTTCCCGCCTATTTATTTGGCCCTTGTACTCGTCCCTTTCTCCCTTACTCCGCCCGTGTCCCTTTTTATTCCTTCTTTTACGTCCACGCGCACCTTTGTACCGCCATTCAGGTTTATTTCCATGACTGTCGGGTTAAATTTAAATTTATGCCCGCGTTATTATTTATGAATGTCTCGGGCGTAAGGGGATTTCGCTTGTGTCATTTCCGGAAATTGCGTGGAGCGCAATTTCCATCCTTTGTGCCGTCGATTTCGACGGCGAAACCTTTTTTTTTTTACGTCCGACACACGTAAAATGAAATATCGACTTCACTCAAAAATATATTTAACGACATTACAACATATTTTAATAATAATAATTGTAGAGATATAATTGTAGAGATACAGTTCTTCAATGTTTATATATATTAAGGGGAAGATCGAAAGCGCGAGAGATCCTCTGTAAAGATGGCAGGATTTTAATTACAGAAATATTTTTCTAAAGAAAAATTCCGAGAATTTTCACGAAGCATCCTCGCGAAGAAGAGCGCCATCGACGTGATGAATAATAATTGCATTCTGGCGCAAACATTCTCAATTTTCCGACGCGCGAGGATATCCGACCTTCGATGCGATCTCCTCGCCAGGTGCCCGAGGAAAATTCCGCGGAAAGACACTCATCGCAGACAATGAGTCGGACAATTTTCGCATTACCCGACAGCGCATTAATTCTCTCATTATTATAGCGTTCCGAGCACGTCGATGCGATTCCCCGCTTGTAGACATCTCGCGAGAGAGGGGTCCCCGAGATTATTCTGCATACAATGAACTTGTAGTAATTGCCTGGGCAGAAAGCGGGAGGGAGGGGGGAGGGGGCGGGCAGAAGGATCGTTAACCATTTCGTGAATCATCGCGGAGCCTTCGCGAAGGCATTACTCGATGACCGCGTTTGATATTCATTCACGGCGAAGTCACGGCCAAATCAGCGCGGATTTTACAACTCGCGAGGAAATTTTCTTCACTCTAAATACAATGATGTATCCTGCAGAGAGTCTCTAATTTTACTTCTCAGACTATACATCGCTTGCCAAGGAGATTACGGAAAAACTGAAATTTTTGCTCTAACGAACTTTTAAGATTAAAAATTTTCACTATGTCGAATTTTTTATTTTAAGCAAAAATTTAAGTTATCGAATTTTAAATTGAAATTAAAAACTGAATTAATAAATTGAATTCTGATTTTAATCGTATCAGAAGCTCTTTAAAGGAAACATTACAGTTATCCAGTTTTTAATTTCAATTATCTGGAATTTTGAAGACTAGAAGTTGAATTACAATTAAATTAAAAATTGAAATTGAACATTCGATAATTGAAGTTTTTATTTAATCTAGTTCTTAATTTTAGTTATCAAATTTCAAAAATTAAAAATTGTAGTTGAATTAAAGTTAAAAATTGAATATTAATTGAATTAAAAATCAAAATAAAAAATTTAATAATTGAAATTTTGACTCAATCAAATTTTTAATTTTAAAAATTCGTTAAAGCGAAAATTTTAATTATCTAGTTTGTTTGTAGTTTTAAGAATTTGATCTTTTTATTTTGATCTCTTGAATTCGCGTTTGCAATTTTTCGGGATAATGAATTGCGTGACAACGCGAACATGTGTCCTAAACGGCCGTGATCCTTCAGAGACGGCACTTTCCGATAATTGCGGGTTTTCCGCTGCGTTTTGGATCGCTTGACGACGCGTAATAATCCGTAACAACGACGATCCGACAGTGGCTGCGCACCGCTGCGCGCTAATTGTCAAAATGCCGACGTAATCTCGCGGTGTTCGCGCCCAGTCTGGCAGATAACGAAACGCGACCGGTTAATGGCCGTGTGATAAATGCTCGCACGAGATGATAATCCTGTCCGCGCGGCCTAACGGTACGTAAGTGGCACTGTTATACGAAAGACGATTTGCGCGGACACCCCGGCTTGCATCGATTAAAAACGGAATTACGCGAGACGATATTCCGTCGCTCCCCCCACCCCTCCTCGGCTCTCTCTCTCTCTCTCTCTCTCTCTCTCTCTCTCTCTCTCTCTCTCTCTTTCTCTCTCTCTCTGTCTCTTTATCGTGCGTGTGATCCATCTCGTTGCCGAGATAATCTCGATCGAGATACACTCGAGAGATCCTAGTTGATCCTCAATTAGACGACGGCGTACCGTAAGTTCAGCGCCATTACCGACGTACTCGTCCACATCCTTTGTCATTGAATTATTATCTCGGTACTTAAAAAGCCTAATTAACTTCGTTATCATTATGTACTACTTGTCCCGTTGTTTTTTTTATCGTTGTTTTGTCTGTCGCGCTAATGTCATCTCCCCTCGCAATATCTTCGTCTGTCATCGTTCCTTTCGCCTGATCTTTTTCGCATACATAATGCTACTCTATCTACATTTCCCACCTGCCTCTCTCTTGGCTCATTCTCTTATTCGCGACTCTTCTTACCAGGCGATTACAAGTCGATTGGTCTTGATGATATCGTTTCATCCTTTATCTCGGATTTTTTCGCCTCACTTTCCGTGAGACATCTATTTGTTAGATTCGACCAAAATGTTTTATCTCTATTCAGAGAATTTTTAAAATGCTCCTAACAAAGATAGGCTTTAAAAAAAATTAGTTCTGATAAATATAGCTTTGCTTCTTCTTCTACTTATTTTTAAATAAGGACAGAAACAGCTTTACTTTTGCAGTAATTTCTATTTTTGCTGTATGCTTAATCGTTATTAAATTATTTTTTATATGTCTATAAATAGACACAATTAAGTTTAATTTTTAATAATTTTCAGTAAAATCTCCCCTCTCCCTTTTCCCACAAGACATTTATGAAAGATTTGGAGCTAGGAAATCACTTTACAAAAATCGAGACTACTGAGACATCGACCAACAAAACGGATAATCAAACGTTGCTTCAGAGCAATAATACTAAAATGAGTCCTGCATCTTTCGTTCTTGGATATAGTTCATGAGAAATGGATTTTGATTGAGAGCAACATTGCCAAATAAAGGATTAACCCCAACAATGCGCCTGCAGATCCTCAAAACAATTTCTCGACTTTCGCCGTTTTTCTTTCGATTTTCTCTTCGGGAGACTTTCGAACGAGATTGCACTGCACGTGAGGATATTTTCAGATTCACGACAGGAGCATTTATCGTATATCTCGGATGATGACATGTATATGCAGTCTCATTAATAAAGATTATTATTCTGGAAGCACGTGTTATCCAATTCTGCAGGTGAAAATTCGCGACTTGCGAAAATCCCTCCGTCTCACCTCCACGATCAATTGCGCGCGCGTCTCCGACATTCAGCAGAACGGAATCGGATCGCGTTCTCGATCACGCGGAAAGAGAGAGAGAGAGAGAGAGAGAGAGAGAGAGAGAGAGAGAGAGGAAGAGAGAAACGAAATATCAGGGCAGAGCGCGCGGCACGAATCGGTCCGGAGCGGTCCGCCGGCGATCCGCATACTTTCTAATCCCGATCGCCGGGCCGGCGCGGCATGGCGACCTCAAAACCTCGAACTAGAGATGTGCGCTTTTGCGATATATCGCAGGCACTGCGATTTTTCTTTCTTGAATCGCAACGCGACACGCAATCGGACCTTTATCGCAAAATCGCGCCTGCAATTCAAAATTACTCGTCATTCCGTCACTTAATAAATCACTTTTAAAAACGTTTGGAAACTAATGATTCGGAAATAAACAAGTTTTGTAAAAATGTCTCCAATTTTGCCTCATATAGAAAGCATAATAAGGTTAAGTGATGTTTTTAAGAAAACACTATTCAGCTTCATTATGCTTTCATTTTTAACTATTCTTTCATATTAAAATTTGTGTTTTCTTATAGCGAACATTTCAAAGAATATTTTGATGCAGTACGAAGAGAGAGAGAAAGTTGATTTAGTTATTTCTGATATCTGTTTAAACATTACGATTCCCATCATTCTTTTATGATTAAAAATCGCGCGCGATTCAAGATTGGCACTTGCGATACAAAATTGGACGCGACTCGAAATCATATTTGCGACCCAACTGTGATGCGATATATCGTATTCGATTCTTAAAAAAGACCGCACGTCCTTACTCACCTTACGATTCCTAAGTATCAGTCTTCTGAGTATGAGCCCGACGCCGACGGCGATGGGGAAGACGACGAGAGTGGCCAAGATGTAGCTGACCACGGCGACCGTCTCCTGGGTGGCGATCGCGTCGCCGTCGTGCCGCTTCGATATCACCTCACTGATGTTCATCGACTCGCGCGGGCTCACCGAGATCGGGCCGATCTCGAGGAACGTCCTGTTGAGCACGGTGGGGTACATGGTGTCGTTGTACTCCGGCAGGATCGAATGATGATACGACGGCCTGTACCTCGTCCTGTTGCCGCTCACGGGCGCGAAGGAGGCCGCGCCTCTGGGCGTCGTGGTGGTATCCTGGGCCTCACGGCTCTCCTCATGCTTGTCCTTGTTCCTGGAGCCCGGCGTGATCGGTTCCCGCGCCTTGGGTACCGGGACGGTGGTCGACGTGCTGCCGCCGGACTCCGTCGTCGCGCCAGCGCTCGTGGCTGACGCGCTCTTCCTCGTCGGGGTCGGCGCCGTCGTTGTGGCAGCTGCCTCCTCATCCTCCGACGAGGTGCTCACCGGAAGCACCAGCCGCGGCCGTTCCGTGCCACGGGCGAACCCCTCCATCGGCCCGCTGCCGTTGAAGATGTCCGACGTGTTGTACAGATGCATGATCGGCAGCACATCCTCGTCCTTCGACTTGTCCGACAGGTTGCGCGCCCGCACTTCCGGCGATCTCTCGCCGGATGCGCGCCTGCCGCTGCTCTCTTTCGGCGCGACTGTCGGCGCGCTGGACACTTCCGGCCTGCCATTTGGAGCAGCACTCGCGTCGCCCAGCGAGCGAGCGTCGTTCTGAATCGGCGAGACCGTCATCGCCGCCGGCGTCGTCGTCGTCGATGTGCTGGTCGTCTCCTTGGCCCGGTACCTCTTCTGGATCTCTGACGGGTCCAAGTCGGCTGCGATGCCGAACGGCCGATTGCTCGCTTCCGGCGGCTTCGACGGCCTCAGGCTGGAGCTCCCTTCGCTGGTGGTCTTGTCGGCTTCCACCAGTATCTTGGGTGTGACCGGGAAAACCGGCGCCGTCGGCGCGCTGGTCGTCCCCGTGGTCGTCGTCGGCGACGGCGTGCTCGTCGTCGCGGTCGCGTTACTGAGCTGCTCAGTCACCGCCACCACGGTCGTTGCGTTCACGTCGCTCTCATCGAATCTTACGACGTCTTCCTGCGTGAAGACGTCAGGCTGGCTCGCTTCCGTCGTCGTGGTCGCGTCCACGAGTAACGACGGCTCGGTCGCGTCCGCCGCGTGGTCGGTCGCGTTGGCGCTGCTACTGGAATTCACCATGGTTGCGAAGGTGCTGGTGATCGCGGCTGGTGATGTCTCCTGCGCGCTGCTGTCGCGCGGTACCTCGTTCAGCCCGCTGGCGACTTCCCGAGGAGGAGTACCCGGCACTTCATCGCCTGGACCTTCGCCGCGACCCGCAACCGTCCCGTTTGACCGCCCGTTCACCACTAACACTCTACCCTTGGCGTTCTCAGTCCTCTCCCGATCGTTGGACTTCACTCTCCTGCTACCAGCCGTGGCAGAGAGTGCACTCTGAGGCGCCAAGACGCGGCGGCGCTTGCTCGTCAGCGGGAACGAGGCCTCCTCGTTGATGGTCGACCGTTGATTTAGCACTGCGCTGGCGCTCTTTCTCAAGAACCTGCGGTCATTAACACCTTCCTGATCACTGGTCCTCGATTTCGCGTGATTCCACCTCACGGACCCTCTACTTGTGGTCTCCGCCGATTTCACGGCCGGCCTCGTCGGCGACACGGCACTGTCGTTCGCGCCTGGATGCGCGGCCCAGGTCGCCCGTGGACTGCTCGCGCGTTGCTGTTGCACTTGCGGGACTACTTCCCTCGGTCGTTCCCCCACCAGACCGACGACCACGACACTGGACGGCGCTCCAGCGGCTGCGGCTGGCTCGACGGTCGCGCCGGCACTGAGTCCTGTCGGCGCGAGCGCCGGCTCTATACCGTCGCCAGCACGAGGAAGCAGAAGAGGAGAAGACGACGGCGGCGGCGGCGGCGGCGACGGCGGCTGCAGCTGCGACTGTTGCTGCTGTTGCTGCTGACGCCGCTGCGACGATCCACCGCTCGTTATCTCGGCACCGCTACCACGACGACCTGCACCTCCTCTTGTTTCCCCTCCTCCTCCTTCTCCTCCTCCTCCTGCTCGTTCCTCGCCGCTTGATCCAGGTACGCTGTAGTTGCGCAACAATCGCGTCACATTGGTTATCGTGTACGCGTACACGTGTTGCTGCTGATGCGGCTGCTGCTGTCGCTGCAGCTGATGGCTCGGCTCGGCCGCACCTGTCGTCGCGGCCGACTCCGTCGGCGACGGAGTCGACGGCGATTTCGGAGCAGTATCCCCGGCGGCTGGCACGCGAACCGGTCGGTACGCCGCGGGATCGACCGGTTGTTGCTTAACGGTACCTTGACGAGCCCGCTCGCTCTCGATCGCGAAACTGCGCCCGAAGCTCCCGCCTTCCGGCACGACGATCCGCAGCGTCGACGACTCGACTCGCTGCGCCGGCGTCGTCCTCGCGTCCTCGTGGTTCGCCGTCGACGAGGTCTCGATGCTGTTGCTGTCGCGAGACTTGGCTCGCAACGACGTCGGAATTACTTCGACGGCAGTCACCAACCTCTGATCCGGCTTCTCCGTGCTCCTCGTTCCCGTGCTCTTCGCTTCCTCTCCTCCCGCTGCCTCTTTCTCTTGGTCAGTCTTCACCTCGACTCCGTCCTTTCCGAGATCACTCTTGAGGTGGCTCTCAGCGACTTGACGCGAAGCAACGGCCGTCCCGTTCGGAAACATCGCGTCCACCTCGCTTTTCGCGTCGACAGTGTCGTCATCGCCCGCGCTGGCGAGCTGCTGTTGACGCTGCCGCGGAATCTGGGTCGCCGTGGCCGGCTGGACCACGTGGGTATCGTTTCCTCTCGGCTCCGCGTGAGCGGACGGCTCGGCGCGGGGCTTGTCGTCCACCGTGTTGACCTCGCTCCTGGTGTCCGAGCCGCCAAGCGTGGGGCTCGACTCGTTGCCTGGGATCATGTTGGATACAACGTCCGCGGGCCTCGCTTTCCGGAGGTACAGCCCGCCGCCTGGACTCCTGTAGGTATTCTTGATCCTGGACACTTGGTTCTTCTCGACCGTGCGGCGCTCCAGCGCGACGTTCATCTCCTCATTGACGAGCTCCTCCGGCTTTTTCGCGGAGTACCTCCTGCGGGAGGCCGTCGACGTCGTCTCCACGAGACTGGAGGTGTTGCCGGCGCCGTTGGTGACGTTTTGCGCGTCCGGCTGCAGCTTTTGGCCGAAGTACAGGAACTGAGACATATCCTCGACCGGGATGTTGCTCTCCACCGGCCGGAAGTGGTTGTACAACGACTTCGGCATCGACACGGTGTTCTTCTTGCGTGCGTCCGTGTCGTTCGGTTTCTGGTGGATGGACGTCGAGGAGACGCCCTCATGGCTTTCGGTGGTCGTCGGCGAGGACGACGTGTCGTTCTGCGGCGTCTTTGGGGTCGGTGATTCTACTTCCGACCTCGTCGGGTCGGGATCGACCGCGACTTTCTTCGACGACTGAGGAGTCCCCTCCTCAGGCGTCGCTTCTGTTCGCGCACTGGTTACGTAGATGCCGTGGCGGGTCTCTTGGGTCTCGAGGATGTCCGGAGGATCCTTCGAGGTGGCGTCGCTCGGCCGCGGCGTGCGGCTCGAGAGGAGCCGAGTCGGTTCATGCAAACGCTGACTCAGAATCTGCCGCCTCCTGGCCGCCAGGATGTTACGCAGCGCCTGCTCGCGCTTGGCCTTCGACGACGGCATCTCCGCGTGCAAGGACACGCGTCCTTGACGGTGCTCCACGACCGGCGCGTCTGTAAACAGGAAGGAAACGGTTGCACGATACGCAGCGTTTGTCGCGAAATTAGTTTCTACACGCAGAGAATTCTTGCTGAATAATGTAGCGTAGTAACGGTAGAATTTACGAGAGCTGCATTGCGCAATTGGGATGCATTGAGAAAAAAGCGGTTAGGTCGACAAAATCGCCAATCCTCGGCCACCAAAGAAATATTGGATCTATTCGATAAAATACACGTTAATGCAACAATAAGTTGCGTTTATATTACTATATCAGATGCAGATATAACCATTCCAACGCAACTTATTGTTGTACCGAGACGTACGTTAAATAGATACGATATTTCTTTGATCGATTTTGTCGATCCAGTTGTTTTTTTCTCAGTGCATACTCGTACTGAAGAGGAAATTTGTATATGACAGCAGCGAACGAATAATTTGATCAGATATATTCTGCGATACATTTTACAATTGCATAAATTGTAGTATATTTTCGTATACCTTTCCAGGTCAGCATGGAAATTCTTCACACGCTACACATTTCAAAGTCATTGAAAGCATTCTATACTTCTTGGGAAAAGTTACTTCTACGCGCACAGTTTTATTCTTTGGTCTCTAAATTTCCCATACTTTCTTGAAATCTTTTCTGTTCTATCATATGATATCCAGACAGACTTTCATGATTGTCACAACACGAGATGAAAACTATACAATATCTTAAGTTACATTTATGAGGCAAATATATTAAGGTGTAGATATTTTGCTGTATTGAGGCAGCTATAAATTTATTAAAAGTCACACTCAGACTTTTATATTACATTCTATATGACATATTACTTTGAGTAAATTTTAATTATTTCCAGACAGACTTTCATGATTATCACGACGTGAGACAATTGACGATGAAAACTCTACAATACTGTTAATAAATTGTTAATAATTACATTTACGAGGCAAATATACCATATTGACTTAACTATTAAATTTCCATCATACAATAACTTAAAATTTCTCGTGTACTAATGCGGAAACAAATTTACCAAAACTTACACTTAGCTTCTCATATTACCAATTGCTTCACATTTTACATTACATATCAATTTGAATAAATTTTTATCGTTTGAACAAATTTTTTATCGTCATTCTGTGTAAATGAATATGGATGTCGTGTGAATTATTCACACGGGACGCGGCCTTTACAAATCGACTTGTAAAGTCGCCGCCAGATTTACGTACACCTGCCTGGATACTTCCTCAATTAATGCACGTTCACATCTCCGAGCGAACATTCCCTACGTGCGTCGTTCGATACTCGTTAAAACGGTAATCTCGTTCGGCGCTGCGAAAAATCAACTTAATCTACGCGCGTGGAATAATTACGGCCGTGGCGGTTACGCCACGGTGAATTATGATTACCGCACTGAAGAGGCGCGGTCTTCTTAACAGAGTGTGAATAACGCGCGGTTTCTAAAATGCTAATTGTCCGCATGTGGAACAATGACACGGCGAATACGGCGAACAGGAGCGATTACGGCGCGGTTCCGGCTCGTTCCGGCATCGTTCCCCGGCAACTCGCCGGGACCTTTCGCGGATTAATGCGAGGCGACGGCCCGCGCATACGGCGAGCATACGCGGCCACGGTGAAAACCGGAAGAAGAAGACCGACCGCATCCCTCCCCCACCCCCCGGCGTCGAACTACGAACGCGTAATTATAATCGCCGAGCGTGCGACGCCGCGAAAGAAATTCTCGCGCGCGCGCGCGCGGGACTTCTTCGAGTAACGGTGCACCTCCAGGGTCGCGCGGTCCACAGAGGACGGCACGGGAGCGGGTTTGGGGTACGAGAGGGTCCGGTACCGTTAGCCGCTCACGGTCCCATGCGCCCAACGAGCGTTCCGCCAATAATCGACCGTTGCGATTGCAAAAACAAGAACCGTCCACGAGCACGAAATTTCGGCGCGCTCGGAAACGTAGACACCGCGCTGTTCGGATGTTTCATTCTTCTCCATTCATTTGCAATAATTTCAACAGCGAAACATCTAATCTAACTTTGGAAAAAAGATGTCTGATCACTAATCTCTTTTAACTATCTAATTTTTTTTAAACAATTTGACTTTTTTTCTTTCTTTAAGATCAGTGTAATTGAAATTCCCAATAATATACTGAGCAAAAAGTTACTAAATTATTAAATTTAGTACATTTATTAAGTTACTATTTAATAATATTAAATTTTTATTTAATAATATTAAAAATTTACTAAAAATTATTATAATTATATATACATAAAATATTATTGAATCAATATTGAAATCTAATCTAATTTTTTAAAACTTGACCTTTCTCTTTCTTTTCTTTTTCGGGATTGTATGCAATATAATTCAGATTTTAAATAATACATCTCTCTCTCTCTCTTTCCTTGTCCTATTTTTCAAAAAAATTATTAAATTATTAAATTTAGTACATTTACTAAGTTACTATTTTACTATTTTATTTAGTAATATTTAAAATTTACTAAAAATTACTATAATTATATATATATAAAATATTATTGAATCAATATTGAAACCTAATCTAATTTTTTAAAACTTGACCTTTCTCTTTCTTTTCTTTTTCGGGATTGTATGCAATATAATTCAGATTTTAAATAATACATCTCTCTCTCTCTCTTTCCTTGTCCTATTTTTCAAAAAAATTATTAAATTATTAAATTTAGTACATTTACTAAGTTACTATTTTACTATTTTATTTAGTAATATTTAAAATTTACTAAAAATTACTATAATTATATATATATAAAATATTATTGAATCAATATTGAAACCTAATCTAATTTTTTAAAACTTGACCTTTCTCTTTCTTTTCTTTTTCGGGATTGTATGCAATATAATTCAGATTTTAAATAATACATCTCTCTCTCTCTCTTTCTTTGTCCTATTTTTCAAAAAATTATTAAATTATTAAATTTAGTACATTTACTAAGTTACTATTTTACTATTTTATTTAGTAATATTTAAAATTTACTAAAAATTATTATAATTATATATATATAAAATATTATTGAATCAATATTGAAACCTAATCTAATTTTTTAAAACTTGACCTTTCTCTTTCTTTTCTTTTTCGGGATTGTATGCAATATGATTCAGATTTTAAATAATACATCTCTCTCTCTCTTTCCTTGTCCTATTTTTCAAAAAATTATTAAATTATTAAATTTAGTACATTTACTAAGTTATTATTTTACTATTTTATTTAATAATATTTAAAATTTACTAAAAATTACTATAATTATATATATATATATATATATATATATATATATATATATAATATTATTGAATCAATATTGAAACCTAATCTAATTTTTTAAAACTTGACCTTTCTCTTTCTTTTCTTTTTCGGGATTGTATGCAATATGATTCAGATTTTAAATAATATATATCTCTCTCTTTCCTTGTCCTATTCTTTATGATTGTGCGCAGCTCCTTGATTATGCGAGCATAATAGCTGTAATAGATCCAATTACTCCTCTTCAATTCTCTTCCTTTCGTGTAACGATCCTATAAAAAATTTCGGATAAATGAACGATAATTTTCAGCATCAAGTTACCGTCTCGTGGTCTTCCTTTAGCCTGCTCGTACACTCGGACGGGCTCTTCTCCTCCTCCTCCCCCTCCTACTCTCCTTCTTATACTTATGCCCAAGGATTCCTCCTCGCGGTTTTCTCATGGTACAATAACGTCCCGTCGACGACCCTATCGTGCAGATAATGGGCGTTGCTCGTTTCGCTTCGCTTCGGAAATTCGTTCGTACTGTAAAACGTCGAGGAACGCACGCCGTAATCTATCTCTCTCTCTCCCTCTCTACGTACGAGAGCATGTTCTACGGGGATCATTAAGAGCTCGTCGTGCCCGCGAGAGACTCCACGGAGGAGGATACCGGCGCGTCACGAATTCTACTCGCTCATTGTTCGCGAAAACGCCGGCCCGCCGTCCGAAACGCGTCGGCCTCGAGGTAAACTCCCGGAGAAGGCGATACAGCTGTAACGAGCTGAATTTACAGCGACGTAAAAGTCCGACCCTGTCAGCTCGTTAAAGAGGTCAACGCGCGCTATTCCGCGCAACGGCGTGGGTCCTCGAGCGATTCGCTAATGTCCCGCGCGATGAAGGAAAGAGACATAAAAAGGAAAACTCCGAGAAATTCGGGGGATTATACCGTGTGAGATACGATACACCACCTCCGTCGGCTCCCTCTTTATCCACGACGCTCGCGTTATTCTACGTTTCGCATTAAATATGCTTTTTCTGGGACTTCGAAGGAGCCGAAATTATGAACTCGACTTGTCGGCCGGCGCGCTACGGCTATCTCTAAGCTATTTAGGGACTTGTAAATATAGGCTTTCGGGGCATAAGAACGGGACATCACGACTTCTCGGGTGATAGAGAAATCTTTTGAGAGACCATCGTGGTGGAAGAAGAAGAAGAATAAGAAGAAGAAGCGGCTTTCAAAGAAGGTACTTTATGTTAGCTATTTGAATATTTTATCACGTTAAGGTAACGCGCGTCTATGAGACACGGATTGGCCGACCTGTTATAGAGAGATTCTGTCCTGTCATTATTCGAGCGGTGATCTAAAATTGCTCGGAACCGGAGAACGTTTCGCAGCTGCGCTCGATTGGAACGGATATTCCAAAGGTTGCAAGAGGAAAAGAAAGAAAGAAAGAGAAGACGTTTCTCGCGTCGTGGAACTCGTCGTCCCGCAAGCGGGAACCCGCTTATAAATATACACGAGCGTCCCGCCAACCCGAGCTCTGAATAATGCAGTCCAGCTAATCTCAGCCGAAATCACGGGAATTGCTGGCTAACCATTCCGCGTGGAATTTTCAAATCTCGAACAAGCACAAAGTAGAGAATGTAAAAGAGAGCCGCTAAGAGAAAAAAAGAGAGCGGGGAGGGTTTACTTTCTTATCGTTGCGGCGGAATCTAACTCAAAATTCAGCAACAGAATTTAAAAATAAAATTCAGCGAGCAGAATCCAAAAACAGAATTGTAATATAGAATCCAGCAACGAAACTTAACAGTACAATGCAACAATAGAATTTAATGACGAAATTCGGCAACAGAATTCAGCACCAGAATCCAAAAACGGAAATCTAATATAGAAACCAGCAACGAAATTCAACAACAGAATGCAGCAATAAAATTCAATAATGGGATCCAGCAATGCAAAATTCAGTAACAGAAATCTGCAAAAGAATCCAGAAACAGAATTCAAATATAGAATCTAGCAACGGAATTCAACAGCAGAATGTAGCAACAGAATTCTGCAGCAGGATCCAGAAATAGAATTCAAATATAGAATCCAACAACGGAATGTAGCAATAGATTTCAATGATGGAAGTCAGCAACAAAATCCAGAAATAGAATCCTAATATAGAATCCCGCATCAAAATTCAACAATAGAATGCAGCAGTAGAATTCAATGACGAAATTCAGCAACAAAATTCAGCCATCTCAAGGAATAACGACAACCGGGAATACCTGAACACGTCCTAAAATTGTTTTCTGAGAGAAAAAGAGGAAAAGGAAAATTAGGAGAAGATAACGTTGTTTCAGCGGCGATTTAAATCAGAAGACAAGGAGACTCGCGACTGTAAGAGTGCGAGGAAGACGGATAGAGAGACGCGACGCGGTCGCGACGCTGACGCGAATCGCGAATTATCGTCGCGGACGTGACCGCACAGAGGATCGTAATATTTTATGTGAACACGTGTATGAGGAAGGTCAGTGCTGCTTCTGTTCTTGTTCCGCGACTCCACGAGCCTTGACGGGCACTGACTGCCTGCCTGGCTGGCTGGCTGCCCGAGTGAACTACAATGCGGACACGTGAGATGACTCCAAGATGTGTCACACGGTCGCCCGCGGGCTGGACCCACGAGAAGTGGCCCCAGATTCGACGTGAGATGCGTGGGTCCGGGCCTCGCGTGCCGTTTCACTGTCCCACTTTCAGCGCGCGGGGCGCGGTCCTTCTCTACTTCGTTCGTTTCCTACGTACGTACATTCGTTCGTTCGTCTTATTATTGCGGCGAGTAAGTGTGCTCGTCGTGCGATTTTAATGGTTTCCACGTAATACGTCCCACGCCGATGGTATTTGTTTTGCGAAAGGAGTCGCGATTGTGTGAAATTATCGGATGTTCAGGCTTCGTGCCGAAGCTCCGATCGAATGGGATAAAATAATAATAATGATTGCGTGGGAATTGACGTATTTTCCGTGAATAGTTCGTATATGCTTTATCTAGTTTCTATATGCTCGCACACTTTCCGCGGAGTGTTGTTTAATAACTGACGTATTGTAATTTTACATTCTGACGTCTCCATTATGAGTTTTCTCTTTTTCCTGTTTGTCTTGTTTGCAAACTGTCTAATTCTCAACTTCAAGAGAATATTCTATTCAAACGCAATCTAAAATAAGTCATTTCTGCACAGAGAGAACGATTTGGTTGAATCAAATAAACGCTTTTTTGGAACAGTCCAAACGAATTTTTTGATTGATCGAACAAAATTTTGTTTGAAGCAACAAACATATTTATTTGTGGCTTAGTTTCAAAGAAATATTTTTGTTGTGTCAACCAAATAATTTGTTTGGACTATTCCAGAGAAACATTTATTTGATTCAATAAATCGTTCTCTCTGTGTGCGAGTTCACACTTTGTGCAATCATAATGTGAATTCAGGACCAAATAGCATATTAAAAAGCCGACAACAAGGTTTTTATTGACCAATTAAAATATCCCAGACAGCACAAACTTCCAAAGGACATCTTATTTCTTTCAAATATCTTTTAAATATTTGTGCAGTCTGGGGTTGTTTGCAAGTAAAATCGATTTAAAATATTAATGGGTAAATAATATATATGCAATTAAATTATCGAAAAGATCTATGTTTCCATTTATAGTTATGTTTGTCTTATGATTAATTCTCGCGCACGTTGCGTTTCTCGATTAGCCAAAATTCGAGTGTGCGTGTTGACCGTGATAAAACTGATGACTTCACGTCTTAACCCGTAAGTGAATACGGAAAGGTCAAGCTGACTCAGATGCATAAATAAACAAGCGTTTCTCCAATAAGCAATATGAAATGAAATATTTTTCAAGTACAGACTTTTAACTCATGATGCTTAAGGAAATTTTATTTTATGTTTAACACTTTAAACTCGTAATGCTCAAAGAAATTTTATTTTACGATTAACACGTATTTTCGTCCACAACTACTTATAGACAAAGATCTACTTACAGAAAGAAATCACATTTACAAGAGTCACACGCGTCTACTAAAGGGTTAATAAGCGCATTGCGCGAATTGCAGGCGAGGCGAGGTTAGGCGAGACGCCCGCGACGGAGAGTGAGCCTGCAGATGCAGTCTCGTTAGCGGATGTTAAGGAGTAAGGTGGCAGTTGCGGCTTAAGGTGTCATAACGCCCATAATGCTCGTCGGCTCGTACAACAAATGTGTCTCTATTAGCGGCGTTATTGCGTAACATTAAGCGCGGGCGCGCTCTAAGGTGTCCCATAATGTAGGCGCGCGACGCGTCGTCCTTCCTCGCCGACTTCCGAAACATAATGCCACTTGGCTAAGCGTGATCGCATGCAGATAAATATCACACGGCTGCAGTCACCCTCGCGCATAATGTGCGCCGCGCGCGTAAAATGCGATTCGCGGCAGCCGCACGTAGACACGCGCGAGTATGGGGTTATGCCCACATAACACCCGAGTCAATGTCATTATTTACTAAAATGTTGCTATGGTGTCTCAATAAATTAAATTCTTTTGCATGGAAATACAATGTTGCAGTAATTTTTTTCCCCGCACAGCTAGCACTCTTTCTCTTTCTCTGTCTCTCTCTCTTTGCTAAGCCACTTTGAGATTGTATGATTGTGCTGAAAGGCCCGATCTACAATAGATGAAGTAAGGAGCAGGAGTAGGAGTAAGAAATAAGCAGTAAGTAAATGGACCAATCACAATCGATTATTCTTGAATTGTAAGAATGGAATTGGCCAATTTGCTTACTGCTTATTTTTTACTCCTACTCCTACTCCTTACTTAAGGCCATCACACACAAGATTCCGTAAGAACTTAAATCGTAAGCGTAAGGAAATCGACCAATCCCAATCGAGTATTCGGCTCTTCGTAATAATGGAGGGGCTACGAAGAGCCGAGTGCTTGATTGGGATTGGTCGATTTTTTTACGTTTACGTTTTAAGTTCTTACGGAATTTTGTGTGTGATGGCCTTTATTGTAGATCGGGCCTAAGAGTTATAGGTCCTGTTAGGAAGCCAAGACTAATTCTTTATCTTTCTCTATTCGTAGCTAAAAGCTTTTTTGTTCTGCTCATGAGCAGCCTGGACTGCCGATATTTTTTTATCTGTCATGTACTTTTCCCAAGCGACTATTAATGATGTTTTTCTCAACAGTAAAGGAGACATTAACGACTTGGCTATATGAGTCTTCTTTTTTATTCAATTTCGGTAAGTTTGTCCTCTTCGTTGCACGAAAATTTTGGTAAAACACTCTATTAATTATTAACATCCCTCTTTGATATCGACACACTAGAAAAGTCTGATTTTTTTTACGACTATTACTGCAATTAAGTTTCTTGCCTTACACTATGATTTCGGAACAGATCTCTTTAAAACTGTCAACAGGTTGGTCACTGGTCGCAAGAAAAACCAGGTTTTCCTAGAGTGTCAGCCTATCTTAGAATGTCAACTAAAAGTCTGTTCTTTTTCATTGAACCAGTGCATACTCATGGAACTTAAAAAGAAACAGAAAGTTGGTGGAAAAAGGAAGAGAAAAGAAGTGCGGGAAATGCTAGTGCAGTGCAGGAAATGCTTCGAAAAAGAACAGCCTTTGGGAGATGTCAGTGATTGGCTGTTTTACCTTTATCGTAGATATTATTTTAAAAACAAGATTTTGGAAAAATTCTCGATTGCCGCCTGATTAAACGATATTTAAAAGAACGAACGCCCTCCAAGTGACGGACAAAAAATCAATAATTCTTGGGATAAATTTGTGAAAGCACAACTCTCCGTTTCGTCCAATTCGCGAATTCGTTTTCTAGTGACAGAATGTTCTCATTGGACAAGACGAATATGTTCATAAATTCACCTAAAAAATAACGGACGACCCTTTTGTCCGCGACTGTATGTAAATCCGCGTACATACTTAGCTTCATATAGCTCCTACAATATTACAATTGTGAAGTGTTATTATCGAGAAATATTTCTTTATAAAGCGATAGCCGCTGGCAGGATAAAATCACGCGAATGAAGTACTTGACAGCAGCTGTCAAAGTGTTAAAATATTGCTCGTTGGGTTAAACGCAGAGGTCACTCTTTGTTCGTATGGAATTCTAAAAAGGGAGACTGAGACAGAGACGATCGATCGCTTCTCGAGTACTTTGAAAAACCGCTCCGAGCGACTCTAAAAAGTATTTTAAGCGATGTTTCATTTCTCACGTCCACGAGATATCTCCCGGCAATTCGTCGGAGCTCGTCTTAATGTTGTATTATTCTTCATCGAGGAGCGGAGGAGGTTCTCCAATGAGAGCCGCTTGAACCTTCGCAATTTATACGTTCCGTTTCGAGAGGGTCGCTTTGTTGACTGGATTTTTAGGGTTGCGCTAGTCTCTCTTTCTCTCTCTCCCCTTCTGCTTCTCCCACTTCCTCTTTTCTCTCTTCCTCTCTCTCTCTTTCTCCTTCTCTCCTCCTCTTTATTTCCCTTTCTTTCTTTCCTTCTCGTGTCGAAGATAACCCTCTGGGTAGCTTTATATCTATGAATATTATCTGCGGCTTTATTCACGAAGCCTTGGCCCCGACCGATGATCTCAATGTCACGAGGATTCGCGCAATGGCTCAATATTACGATGCGCCCCCGAGGGCACTCGCGTCCCCTCCCGGATCGATGATAAAAAAGAAAAGAGAGAAGCGGCGGAGTCACGATCGCGAATGGTACCTTAATGTACCCGCCGATCGCGTTGTAAATAAATAGTATCTCGATTGGAATTAATCATCGAGCGTGTCGAGATTAAATTCGGCTGACGTAATCGCAACGCGCACCAGCCTGATCTGAACGAGATAAAATAAAAAAAGGTGGTATTTGTATGTGAATAAATCGCGGAAAAGTATCGATAAATACGCCAAACGCGTAAAGATCCCCACATATGGAGAGAATGTGTGATATTATTACAAAACAATTAACCTCAAATTTTTTTATGCGATATAGGATACGGTAGGAGCTCCAATTTAGCAACCTCCAATTTAAGAATCCCTTTTTAAAGAATATCCCGTACTACGTGATCAAAGCCACTTGCGCAGTACGATGCACAGTCGTCCGCGTCAGTGGTTAAAAAAAAGTTTTTAAACTTTTTTTTAAATAATATCACCTCCCATGCCGTCAGGATAGCAGGAGCCACCGATCTGTATATCGTCGTATGACAGTTTTCCTAACTTTAGTACTGATCAACTTTGTCAATTTCTCACTTCACAGGACAGAGCAACGTTTATTTCTGCCAGATTATTATTTTACGTGCAAAAACGCGTCGATTGGGTATATTTTCATCGATATTGGAGGTGATATGTGTAAACTGAATAATTATGATATATATTTAGTTAATCTAACCCAACCTAACCTTATTTAACCTATATGTGAGCGCGCGGGCGGAGCGCTGATTGTATGGGTATGAGCAGGGTTGGGGACGTTACTTTTTAAAAGTAACGCGTTACCGTTACCGTTACTTGCGGTAAAAAGTAACTCGTTACCGTTACTCGTTACTGATTCATAAAAGCAACGCGTTACCGTTATTTGAAAAATAACGATAAAAAAATCGTTACTTTCCGTTACTTTTATAAAAAAAAAAATTAAAATCGGCATATAAAACGAATAGTAGAAGAGACAGTACATAAGTTATACATATATAAAGATAAAATATAAGATATTTAAGCGGGAAACACACATTATTGCATAAAGCTCATTCTATATTAGTCGCAAATCGCAAGGTCGCAAAGAAATTGACTAGTCGATTGTTCTTCTTGCGACCGAAAAATAATCAATTATGATTGGTACAATTTCCTTGCGATCTTGCGATTGCGACTAATGTAGAATAGGCTTTAGGGGCGCCACGCACGAATTAACATAACAGTAACATAAGACGTACCGTAAAAATGGACCAATTACAATCGAGTATTCAAAATGGCGACCTTACAGTTCGACGATACTCAAAGTGATTGGTCAGTTCTTACGGTACGTCTTACGTTACTGTTATGTCAATTCGTGTGCGACGCCCTTTAAAGGCCATCACACACAAAATTCCGTAAGAACTTAAATCGTAAGCGTAAGGAAATCGGCCAATCCCAATCGAGTATTCGGCTCTTCGTAATAATGGAGGGGTTACGAAGAGCCGAGTGTTCGATTGGGATTAGTCGGTTTCTTTACGCTTACATTTTAAGTTCTTACGGAATTTTGTATGTGATGGCCTTAAGTGTGGTGTACAATGAGAACTTAAGCCATAAAATTTAAGCTTTAAATCCTAAGCCGTAAGAAGTTGACCAATCACAGTCAATTATAAGAAAAATAATTTCTTACCGCTTAGAGATTAAAGCTTAGATTTTATGGCTTAAGTTCTCATTGTAGACCACGCTTTAGAGGCTTTCTACAATAAATTTTAAGTCGCAATAAAATTGACCAATTACAGTGGATTATTCTTCTAATAGTCGACTGTGATTGGTCAATTTTATTATGACTTAAGATTTATTGTTTATTGTAGAATGGGCTTTACGGAAAGCAGCACATTAATTGTTTATCGTGTGCAAACTTTCATCGCGTGGCAAGCGTCGCCGCGTTCTGTGTACAGAAGCCATCATAATAAAAAAGTAACGATATAAGTAACGATGAATTTCATTACTCGTTACTAAAGAAAATGTAACGCCGTTACTTTTTCGTTACTGATACAAAAAAGTAACGGCGTTACCAAATCGTTACCAAAAAAAAGTAACGAAATAGTAACGTCGTTACAAGTAACGCGTTACTTCCCAACCCTGGGTATGAGTATGTGTATAAGTTACGGTGTATAGGTGAATATACTGAGGGCATCCCATAGATATTCCTATAGTATCTTAGACGATTTGGAGAATTTTCCTTATGGAGATTTTCTTAGACAGATTTCTCTAGACAGATTTTCCTTGAGTAACAAATGAACAAACTCTGCATACCTAGGATTCGCTTGCAAACGCTTTAAAGTAACCATACATACGAACTTTCTTTGTACGCCCTCTTTGTAGGCCTTCTTTCTTTATAAGAACAGATGAATTTTACTCCTACTGTTCATTCTCAGTTCATGCTTAGTTCTGTGCGTAGATCAGCATTCTCCATTTTCTCAACAAGCTTACATAAAAAATGGATCTTCAAGACAAATTTATAAGAGATTTTTCCGGAAGATTTGATGTGCCTCAAAGCATATATGAAAAAGTCGGCATGGTGCTTCATTATGGTTTAGACGCGTGCCTCATAAGTGAAAAAATTAGAAGTAATGTGAAGATACGTGATCCTACGTACGATATCGCGTGTAGTAAGGATTACTACATGGAGTACCTAGATATACAAAGTTCGGAGTGAGTACGATAACCAAAATAATATGATTTACACTAAATAACACACGCCCTAATTCTGTAATATTATCAGCATGTTCATTATATACGACGTAAGAAACCATCGCATTCAAAACAGTCTAAACAATTCGACCATGCGCCAAATGAGTATTCCACCGATTAATCAGAATAAGCTAGACAAAATCGTCGTAAAGAAGTTAATACCTGAAGGCACCTTTGATAATGCAAAATGCTTACTGTGCCAAGTACTTATTCCATTTCGGGAATGCCTGGTCCTCGACTGCGGCGACAAAGCTGCCAAATGGATACTTAAGTAGAAATCTGCAATAATTAAATCTTAATGCACAATTTTTTGCTAGCCGTGTGAGCATTGTTACTAATTAGCGCTAATTTACTTTTCAGATATTTTAAAAACACGAATTTCCGTTTGGGGTATTTCATACGCTATGTGCAACAAGAAGAAAAATTTTGGAAAAATTTCGATTTGATTTACAGAGTGTATAATGTTCAAAAGAACTCGGTAATTAATATGTCTCGTTGTTATAACGTTTAATTAAAATTAGAAATTGATTAAGTCGATTTCTTATGTTAAGTCGATTCTTTATGAGGCTTTTAGCCTCGATTCTCTTTGTCCTTAATAAGTGTGCTACATAGAGGATGTCTGAGGTAAAGTTATCGAAATGTATGCAGATAAGTTGGGAATTGAATGAAAAGGTCTTTTACCGTTCTTCAAATAACTACGATGAGATTTCGAGATATTAATAAAAAATGTTTAAGGAACTGATGCGTACGATGCCGTGGAACAAGCTCTATGGGTGCACAATCTTATTAGAAATAGCTGAGAGATTCGTGACTGTTTCTCAGCGATATGCATACGATACGGTCACTTTACCTTAGCTACTGTCGTTAAGAGGTAGTCACGCTTCAGCTGTTTTCAATGAGACAAAGCTCGTCTCAACACGACATTGCACGTTCCGGTTCACCTTTTCATTAACCCTAGAACCTTAGAATTTTAGAATTCTAGATAAAACTTATTTAGATGAACTTTTCAAACGTTACAGCTCTTAAAATGAAAGGAGTAAGGAGCATTGTATTAAGTCTAACATTAATTCATTGGTTCTTCTATTGGAAGTTATGACTCAGCTATTTTGTTACTTAATTAATTTTCCAAAAGGAAGACGAAATAATTTTGTTCGGGTAAATTTTACCCATGTTTAGAACTTTTATTCGAAAATTCACTTCTAATTTTTTTCTTATATATAATAAGATTATTTTTTTTTCCCAATTCATGCAGATAGGAAATTTTTCCTCTTTAAAATCTCGTTGGCTTCTTTGTTGTATATTTTATTGCTAAAAAAGTTATGAATTTTTTATAAAAAAGTAAATTTTGAAGAAACATGTACGTTGTTTTTTACTATAACTTCTTCAACTTTATTGAATATCACAAATATAAAAATAAAATTATTCTTACACTGATTTAAAAGAAAAAACATCGAATTTCGATCATTTTTTTGAGAGTTAATAAAAATGAGTAAAATTTATCCTTAAATAAAATTTACCTAATTTACGTAAGTTAGTTTACGTAAGTTTTTAATGTGTAGGGTTCTAAAGTTAATATCTCGAAATTTTACGTGATTTTTTGAAAAATGGTAGAAGAATTTTTTATCTAGTTTAACCTAATTTACCTCCACACGTGCTTTTGAGAATCTTATGTCAGACATCCTGTATAAATGTTTCACTAATGTTTCAGTGACTTGTATACATGAACTTGTATCATGTATATCTGTATAGTTAACCAAATATACTTATCTTCTTTAGGTGAAAAGTAATTACATCAATATTATGTCACTGGCAACAGCGAAGCACCTTTATCAGGATATGTATAAGTATATAATAGAGAACTGTTTAGATAATCTCATTATAATTGATGTAAATATAGAACCTTTCCAAGAGCACCGATGGAATTGGATTAAGATTGACGATGCCATCTTTAAAAAAAGGAGTCTGATACCAAAGTAAATATGTGCATTAGTTATATTTTATTGCAACTCTCTTTTTGAATCTATCGTTACACGCACGGAAAAAAGTCTGCTTGGACTGACCAAATTTCCGATGAAATATGAACGAACAGAAAATTACGGTTAAAGTTATGAGAATTCTGTTCAAGATAATCAGAAAAAGTCTCTTTAATTGTTAACTTTAATTGTTAACTCGAATAGAATTTTCGTACTTCAACCGGAATTTTCTGGTTTGTTTATATTTCATTAGGAGTTAGTTCTGTTAAACTGAACCAAATGTTTCTTCCGCGTATGCAAATTATTGTTAACAGTTACAATTATAACAAATTACAAATCCTCACGAAGAGAATTATGATATAATATCTATTTAATGAAATATTATTAGTAATATATATGCTCCTCTTTTTATTTATAGTTCTATAGATAGTTACAACTCGGTTGACGAATTAAAGGATATGCTATGGAAATGGCAATATAACAATTTAATGACCGAATGGGAAATGTGTTCCGCGGGATGCATAAATATTGGTCAGGAAGTGCAGGTTCATTTGTCTACGGTGGATAATAATATACCAATATTGGAAAATATTAAACGTTATTGTTTAGCCCATCAATCGCAAGGAAACTGAAAATCTCTAAAAATGTAAACATTTGCAGAAATGCACACATGTGAATCTTATCGTCCAACTATTTATTTTGGCTGGAAAACAGTTCTAAAGATGAAAATATCTCTTCAAAAAAAATTTGATTTTTTATATTTTGCTAATATTCTTAAAACTATAAGAGATATTGAAAAAAGGCTCTTGGCCCTTTTTCACATACATAACTTCCGCAAAACTCTAATATAAGTAATATAAAGATCTGAATGTAACTTTTAGTAAAGTTTAGTGTAACTTTTTAGTAAAGTTTAGTGTAACTTTGTTGCTGTATCAACAGAACAAAAAATTTATATTATTGTATTACGTAAATTTAATATTAATGTAAAGAAGGAGGGTCCCTAAGGCCGGTTTTTGGCACACTCTGAAATTGATCCAAAAATATTATATTTTTGTCAGAACTATTGAAGTAAAGTGATTTTATTCTAAATATTTTGACATATTTTGGTGCCTGCTTATACTATAATTCTAATTGATCTCATTTTTATCACCAACGCTCTTATGTCACTTACATATCATCTCCTTACATTTGTGTGTGTGTGCGCTCAATACTGCGAAAACACTATTTGTAGATATTTGGCAATATGTTATTTTTTTTAATCATAGTGCTCGCTATGGGATCATTTTTTTATAGGTTAATTATCGTGCTATAATGTCATGTTGAGATTCACTGAAATATATACTATCTGGAAGCAGCACTGACGCGAGGGAAGAATAGCACGATCCTTGGGTGCGCTCCATCCTTGTCGTATACTCCCATTAGAAAACTTAAGAGTAGATAAGTTGATTGAACGATAAAATAATATCAAAAAATATACGCATATATTTGAATTTAAGAATTGTCTTCATTATCGATTGTCTCATGTCGTAATAATCATAAAAATCTATTTGAGTATATACGTTGGATTTTAAAAGGAAAATTATATGTACATTTTCCTTTATTATCATTAGAATATTATTTAACGGATTGTTAATGTATTTGGTATGATGTAAATTTAACATTAAATAAAACTCTTTTTTGATACAGAATATTTACTTCACAAATTTAATTGAAAGAATTATAAAGTTCCCATCATCGATTATCTCTCGTCGTGGTAAGTATGAAAGTTTATTTAGGTATATATATTGTGCCTTAAAAGACAAACTATATACATTTTCCATTGTTATTATCAGAATATTATTTAACGGGATGTGAATAATAATATAGGAAAAGAATGAGAAGAGAAATGAATCGCGCCAGCTCCGGTCTGACGCACGAAGGAGCGCGCGCCGTTCATCGCGAATAGCCGAAAGATGCGCGGCCGGATCGCGTGTTCTTTACATAACTGTTTACGGCATCATCGTTCCGGCAATTTGACGCAATCGTTGCCCCGCGGGGCTTAATGAATCCGCGGTAATAATCCGGAAAAAGTGTGCGGACTGGTTGCGCGGCCAAGCAAACGACTGAGCCGACCGGTCGGTTGATCGTTCGCTCGCATAGACCTGAACAAATAGACTACGCACGCATTCCCCTCGCAGGACTGAAGTCAGCCCTATAGTAGAAGAGACTGCCATAGAGAATCAAACGCTTTCCATGTCCAATTATTCAGTTGATGGAATAATAATTGGATCCAGAACAAAATAGGGAAAGCTATCATATGCACGGAAGAAACAGTTCTGTTATGTAGCTAAATTTTCTGTTACCTGGGAACTAGACAAAAACTCGGTAGGAGCAGAAAAATTCCTGCAGGAGGCTTTTTGCTCAGCCAATTTTTCTTATTTACTTGAACCGAATTTCAACGGAACTAAATGTTCAGAATTTTTTTCAGTCACGTTAACAGAAATATTAATTATTCTCGTCAGTAAGTTTTCCGTCTGGCCTCTATTTAATTACACGAACTGAAATCTTTTTTCTATATAGGTAATGCATCCTCTCTTTCTTTCAGTATGCTATCTCTTTCTCTTTTCTATTTTTTCACTGTCCTTTCTTACGATAAAAAATTTTTATGTTTAGTCTAATTTTTTTATTAATTTAACATAACATGAATATGTAAACAAATGACGCTAAAATTGACATTATATAACATTAGCATTAAAAATACGGTATCTAAAAAAAATACATATATTTTTTTTATAACACAACTTATCTGTGTACGTTTTGTATATAAAATATGTCACTAATAATTTGTATTTTTATATACGAATTTTATTTTTTATTATATTTTAATATTTAAAAATGCGTGTATGATGAATTATGAGTCTAATGCAAATTAGTCACAATAACACCACAATATATGTTAATGGTTCAATGCTAAATTAAAATAATTAAAATTAATATTTATAAATGTATATATATAAATGTATAAATATAAATATAATTATAATTAAAAAATAAAGTTAAAATAATAAATAATAATATAATCGACTTAATGTTAAATTAACATGGATAGAAATTTGACATAAAATTTCATGGATTTACACGGATCGAGTTTCGGCAAAAACATAAAATGTTTTTTATATTTTGTATTGTGCGATAAAGATCCATTAGAGAAAGTCTATTGGGAGGCGAATCGCTTTTTTCAGGTGTATGGAGTATTAAAAAAGAAAGAGTCCAATGCTTCAACAGAACATATAGCATTCACGAAAAGAAATTGGCGAAAAATTTGATATCCTGATTTTATAATAATAATTAATGATAATGATATCTTGAAACCTTTAATCTTTTCTTTTAATATCCTGTATACATGAGCGTCATTCATTACATATATAAGCTCCGACTACGAATATCACTTTCTCTGTGACTCTTCTATTGATTAATATGTACGGAGAAGCCGTCTGTGCTCTTTAGGTCTATGGTAGTCGCTCGCTAAGTCGGCCAGGCAGGGCCCCCGCGATAGAAGCAGGAAGTCTGCGACGATCCGCCGCGTGTCTTCCGCCGCGGCTAGGAGAAGAGCGCGAACCAACCAAAGGCGTTTTCCGCCCACGCTTCCGCCACTACGCGACGACAAATCCCCCTTAATCCGGCGTGATCAATGATCTGCAGCACCGGGACCTCCAGGTACGCGCGCGAGCATGCACTCTTCCTGCATGCCTCGCATGCGACTGCAAATTGCAGCACGCGTTGCACCCTCACACACAGGGAGCGATGGCGAACGAGGCGACAATTAGTCACCGCTCGGTAAGATGCGCCTCTCTTTCTCTCTCTCTCTCTCTGCGTGCTACAAACGTACCTCACCCCATAGATGAATCATCGATACGAATCGATGTGAATCGCGATTTACTGGTGAATTTTGACTGTATCGACGAAGTTTTTCAACAACGTGGAGTGTTATTCGTGTTGTGTGTTTAACAGGAGTGTTTCATACTTGAAAATACCAACGAAATATTTTTATGTAAAGTTTACATTGTGTTGCACAGAGTTACAAATGCTTTTACGCATTGAAATTACGTGCAATAATGAATTTGAATATTGATCAATATGCGACAGAAACGATAACAGAATTTTTAAATTAACTTCGAGCTGTCAGTTCAAATATTTATTTAACCCTTTATAGAGCAAAACTCATTGGATATGACAAGTGAATTTTTTCTTTTGAACTTTATTAAAATAGTCCTTAGAGATTTTAATATCATTTTTTAGGCTGAAAAAAATTTTAATTAATATTTAAATATTAATTTTAAATTTTTTTATAAGAGATATCAACCGATATAACTGTTGTATCAGTGACCATTCAGGGAAAGCGTTTAGAACCGATTGGCTCTCGATTCTCTCGGCCAATTCTGTGTTGCTGGTACGATTTACGTGCCAGTGCTCTATGAAGGGTTAATACGCGAAAGTTTTGCAGCTTGTACGTATCGTACGTGTGTTTGTCCCGATAACGAAAATTTTCAGGAACATTTCTGTGTGTGTTTACAACTAAATTTATGTAAGATCTATGTGCATTGAATACGTAAAAGGGATACTATAATCGTGTTAGAGACAATAGTCTCTACTGTAATACATTATTCATATTTCTAGGGTTCGTCATCCACTTCACAGCGCTCTTTAATACTGAATAATTTTTGTCATAGATACACTCGCGCGCGTACAACAAACGTCACAAAGTCGTCTGGTGGCTGGTCCGACTCCCTTTGCTATCGTTGGGGATATTAAAAAAACGCGCACAAAGGAACAAAGGGTGAATACGCGGACGTCAAACGCGATCGATTCCCGCCTTCTTCGTCCCTGCCCCACGTATTTTTCTCGTCTCTCAGCGCGGTGGTATCTGTTATTTTATACGAGGGCACACGGAGGCATCGTTCATCTTCGGGAACGTATTACTCGCACGAGTCGAGAATGTAGTATAACTGATTACGGGTTCACGACGTGGAACGTCGAACTCACTCGCAGCAAGGTCCCATTATTTAAAGCTAGTCAGATATCATCTGGGAGAGTCGTCTGCCCCACGAAGGCGTACACAGTCACGGCGAGCGCACAATACGCTTGTTCGATGCGAGACCGAAATAATCCCGGGTAGAAAATAAGCCGGAACGTAGTCAGTAACTGGCCGGAAAGTTTGATCACCGTCCAGTGCGTTTGTTCAGTATTACTGTCTAAACCGTACTCACTTTACCCTATTCATCTTTCTCTATTTGTTTCGGCAGTAACGCTGAGAGAAATTATCCGACAAAAGTTAACCAAATGTACCCGATCAGGGAATATCCAGTGAGAAATATCGATTCATAATTTTTTCATCGGTTTATGTGATGGAATGCCATTATGATCGGAAATATCCGATTAAATTTAATCGGATATCCTGACCGGATATAAAAATTCGTCGGTATTTTGATCGAAAATATCCGTTTGTTAGTCTTTTGTCGGGTAATTTCAACGTTATCAGCGTTATCGATATTTTCCGAGTTCGTCATCGACCTCGGCATCCCCTTAACTCCCAAGTATTCCGCACTCAGGGGGTTAAATCGCCGACGAGACCCACCGTGGTCTGTTCGCGGCCTGAAATTCGCTCGCTCATCCGCCGCGGATTAATAAACGTGTCGGAATCGGCACGGGGAAGGCGAACGGCGCTATTGACGTTTGTCTAACGGGCCCCTTCGTTCTCCGCGATGACGATGAAATCTGTGCCCGGAGGTAGATTTATCGTAGCCATTTATCGCGCAAATGACGTCTCGTCGCCCTCGCGAGTAGCAATGTCGGCCGACGCGACCCGCAAACTCGGGTGAGCAGATAACGACGCGATTTTTCGCCAAGGGGAATCGTGCGATAACGGCGGAGGCAGCGCGTCATTGAACGTCCCACGACTGTCTCTCGCGCGGCCCGTCAAAATTGCCTTTTAACGATTACAAATCGTTCCTCTCGAAGTGATCGACGGTTCTTATCTTAACGAGCGGGCAATCAAAGAAATATCAGACAAGCCAATAAGAAGCAGCGTTAGTTATTATTCGCGACTAGAAATCATTAAGCTTAAGCCTAGCTGATTAAGCATTAGTAAATACTCTTAACGAGTTGAACGTGCAAACTTTACGAATTAAAATCAGATGTTTTGTCGGAACCGCTGAGATTTTCAACTCGTTAGGAATGCTTAACAATGTTTAACGAGTTAAACTTAATTGCGTCTTACAGTCGCAGATGATAATAAATAATTCTTATTCAAAGGAGAAATCTCTAGCACAAAAAAAAAAAAAAACAGATGAGGCAGATAGATAGAAAAGGAACTAGCGTGAAGATCAAAGTAATATAATATAATCAGAAAAATAAAAGATTATAGGAAGTAATAAATAAAAAGAAAAGCGTCAAAGAACTAGCGTCAAGATTGAACAAGATTGAAGCGTAGAAGAGAGCATCTGACAGCGATGTTTTATTAAAAAAAAATCAACA